GAGAGAGAGAGAGAGAGAGAGAGAGAGAGAGAGAGAGAGAGAGAGAGAGAGAGAGGCCGACTTGGACAAAACCCACTTAAGAATAAAATGCCCTTTTAGGCCCATTCCTTCTGGACCCTGACAATGATGCACTGCATATTTGCAAGGTGCTTTCTTCTCAAAAAAGAAAGTTCATAAAAAAAAAAGCTTCCTTTCCACTGTACACCTGATGTTCACACCACTTTAACCATCTCACAAAAACGGTGCCAAGCATAAACTCTTCCCCCTCTGCACAAACCTGCTCATTAAGTGCTTGATTCTGCTTCTCCAGTGCTTGCACAGCACTCTGTGCATTGCCATTAGCTGTCGCCGCTCCCTTACTCATGCCCGTTCGAGAAGCTTAACCGTCATGTAACATTACACAAATCAGGACGAAGATAACCATGTCAAGTCCAATGAACAAGATCTCAAAAGCAGACAAGATTCAGACAGGAAACATCATTTCCGCCCATCAACACAATTCTTTCTCACCTGCCTCTTCAACTGTTCCACCTTTGCTTCCTCCATTTTCGCCATCGCCACCCTCCTTCGCTTCCTCCATTTTTGCCATCATCACCCACCTTTGCTTCCTCATTTTCGCGATCGTCACCCACCCACACTCTCCTTTCTCAACTCGCTCCGAGTCGCTCATCAACATTCCAGTTCAGTAATTCATATTCACCAACTTTCGTGTTCTCATTGGTCATATTTTGAGTTTCATTATAAACTCCTTTGTTACAAAAAGTCTAAAAGTGCATTTCATTCCCCGTCCATGTCCTCGTCCTCGAAAGCCCACAGCACCCATTGCAGATTTGCTCCCAAAACCAAACACAGGAAAGGACAGACTTCACATGTTCACTAGAAAAATTTGCACCTCTTTGCCGAGACGAAGCAAGAACCGAGGACACACAGGGAAGCCAATATACATGATAACCTCATTTGCTTTCTCAATATTTCTACGTATGCTTGCATATTCTCATCCATAATATTTCTCTTGTCTACTTATGTTTCACTTTTTTGTATTTTACTAAGTTTTCAGTAGCTTTTATCACACATAATCTCTCTCTCTCTCTCTCTCTCTCTCTCTCTCTCTCTCTCTCTCTCTCTCTCTCTCTCTCTCTCTCTCTCTCTCTCTCTCNCTCTCTCTCTCTCTCTCTCTCTCTCTCTCTCTCTCTCTCTCTCTCTCTCTCTCTCACACACACACACACACACACACACACACACACAAAACAAAAACAAAAAAAACAGCGCATATGCTAAATACTGTCAAACTATCGTACTGGGGCTGCGAGATCCCAGGGAGGAAGCAAAGGAATGGAGTCCCTCAGCTGATAATTTTTCGATGTCATCTTCTCGAGTAAGAAAATCTTTAAAAAAAGATGAGATTGTCTGTCATAAGAATTCTGGCATAAATGCAACCCATATAGCTGCCACTCCCAGGCTTAATGCCCCCACAATTTGGTAGTCCTGGCACATGTCGATTAGTAGTACTTCCTACTCGTTCATTTCATTTCCAGCACACCTGTTGTCATACACATGCACATGCCTCTGAGCAGCCTCTCTCTCTCTCTCTCTCTCTCTCTCTCTCTCTCTGTATGTGCTTGAAACTTCCATGTGCGAAGTCCGTCCACTGTTGTCACACAGGGATTCGCAGGTTACCATGTGTATTATTCCTGTGAGGACTTTTCAGCAATAGACAGAAAACCAAATGAAAACATCAAATTGAAGACCAGATAGTTGTGTACCAAGCAGAAACCAGTATGGAGTACTATGCACCGACATACAGGCCAAATAAGAGCAATGCAACGAATGCAAATGCCAATGTCAGCCCCAACTCGCCGCCATCGACAATGTATCCAATGCCGCTCTTCTCTTTTGGCGCTCAGTGCCCAGCCTTCTACTACTACTCAGCACCTATGCTAGCCGACAGCTACCATGCAACCAGGAAACACTCCAGCGGAAAACCAACGTACATGTCGAAGTCGCCCGTGCAGACCACCACACACACATCATGTACATGTCTCTTCCTCCGCTACCCGAAGACCATCATCACCATCACCAGCAACAGTGAGGTCGGCCAGGCTATGGCTGCCTCGCGAGCTGCTACCAAGCAGCACCCTGCCCCCTGCACCCGTGTATGCCTCTCCAGCCTTTCCCCCAGCAGCCTGCCAGCTGCCCAGTCCAGCTGCGTGGCCGCCAGGTTGCACAGGGCCAGCGCTGGGCACTTTCCATCTCTCACCCTGGGGCCCAGTAGCTTCCAGTCGGGCCAAAGTGTCTGCGCTCAGGCCCAATTCCGATACTGGCCTGGGCCCCAAACAAATATGCGCGCCCAACTGTGAAACGTGGCTCTTGTCACTCCTGCATCACCTCAATTGGCTGAAAGGCATCACCTCAATTGGCTGAAAGGCCTGCTTCACTTCACTGCCTGGAGGCTCACGAGGCCTCGCTCTCACGGGCATGCTGAGGTCGTGTAACCAACTGGCGCCCCGGTGACTGTCTGGCGCCCTCCAAGATGGCCAGAAATCGTCCGTGGGGGAAAAAGCAGGCAGAGGGCCCCCCTATGTCACTGCTGAGGTCACTCACAGCCTTCAAGGGCCTTTGCGAGGGGCTCATTCCTCCCAGTGTCATTGTTTACTCCTTTCGGGGATCAGTAAAGTTCTGGTTTTGCAGTCATTTGCAAATGGTTTTCTCACTAAAGGTTGTTCTTTTTCTTCTTTTTTGCCCCTCACGGATCCGTATTGCTCACTCCTACATACCTTCTTGACCAGAGGCTGTTCTGTTCTCAAGTACTGAAATGAGGGGAAATGAGTGATGCAATCAATCAGCCTGTCCTGACCCATAGTTCTGTCTAATTTTGTTCTTTTTCTGACTCGAAGCCTTTGAATTGAAGCAAGGCCTGATTCTTAGCAGGCCAGTGTGCTAGGCACATGTCTTTGGGTCATTTCACGATAGCAATTCAGCAAAAGCAAGACCCCAGGCAGATGCTTCACGTATTTCGCTCTTTCACTTTTCGGTAAGAAGCGGGGAAGCGCACCCAGCCCATGCGGCTGAGCGGTACATCCATGAATTGTTGATAAACAGACCTGAGTTTGAATCCTGTGGAATTTGACAAGGAAACAAAACTCCGATGCACTACCGTCTTCACCCAAATGAAACGCTCGGTCATTATAGCCGTATTTGGGGCGACTTTCAGTCCACATGCAGCGATAATGTCTGCCCGTTCTATTCCGGTGAAGACAGTAGGGACAGTCCGTTCGATGACGATATCTCAAGGCCGTTGGCGAAGCTTTCTTGCCCATCAGTCACGGGGGGTGAGAAAAACATGGTGCATTCTTCGTCGCATCAATCAATAAGAAACAAAGAATGCATTGTTATCTGCTACTGTGACTCTTCCACGGTAAGCAGAGTGGACAAGTGCCAAGGACAGAAGGGTTTCCCACATGTGATCTGAGTGGAAGAAGCAATCATTTAATTCAACAAGTTGCCAATCAAGCATGTCACAAGCAATTAGCATCAAATTCAAGCATAATCATAGCAGAAATGCAATTCTGAGCTCTGAAGTACTCCCTACCTGCACATTCAGTGCGTTTTGCGGCTGAACTCTTCGAAGCAGGTCTAGACACCACGTGGGACGAGCCTGTTGACGATGCATGTGAGGAATGAGAACTGTGAGAGACCGTGGATGCTGTGCTGGTTTGCTTATCTGCAAGTGCAGCAGCAGACTTCTTGCTCGCTTCCTTTCCAACTTTGCCCGTTTTCTCTCGCTTTTCTGGTGCGTTGTACCTGCATAGTGCCATGCGCAAACAACCCACACCCATGTCCCCAAACCAGAAATCAGAAGGACATCGATTAGCAGTTTACATTCGACATTTATTAACATCGTATTTTCAAAGAAATGCCTAAAAACACCGCCAGAGCCATGGTCCCTCAAATCCCCCCAGTGTCATGGTGAGGATTTCGTTCGTCTTGGGAGGGTGGGGAGCAGGAAGGGGAGGGGGGGGAATAATCAAAGCCCAGCTGATATGAAAGACATGCACATCATTCAACGGAAACTCCAGCTGGCCAATGGCAACCAGGTTCCAACAAGTCAAAGAAACAAACATCAAGGGACTTGGGAGGGTCATGCAAGTGTTCACACTGCCAAGCCGGCCAACTTCCACGCCAGCCACTGAGCTATTATTGAGACCCATGGACCTAGCTGAGAGGTTGGACTTGGCAGCTGTCCCGGCGTCCAAACCTGTAGAAAAGACTGGACGGGAAGGCATCATCCAAGCACAAGGAAATAAGAGAGCATAAGAGCAGCTAAACACAACAGCAGAACTCCCTGTTCTTCTCAAGGCATATTCACAATGGACTTTTTCCACTTCTCTCTGGACGGAGAAGTGGTCGTATCAATCCAGGAAAGACCTAGAGTGACTATGCCCTAAGATTGACAAATGCGCCACAGACGTGACGGGAGATCGCAGAGTCAGTGTCAAACATGTTCCCACATCCATGCTGCTTGACCCTGAAAGGTTCATCTTGTCAGTGCAGAGTGATTTCTCAGAGTGCACAGTGGCTCTACTGCACAGCCCCATCTGCATCACTGAGCATGCCTGTGCAGAGGCAGAAAGATGTTCCAATAACCAGATGCCAAGCCTCCATATAATCAATCACACGGAACAGTCCCAAGCTGTAGGGCAGTGAACACAGAAGAAGCAATTCAGTTTTTACTTCAACCACACAGACCAAGTTTAACTCAAGTTCATGAGAAAGCGATGGACGTCAAATTACTTGTTCATTTTGTGAGAACCAGGGCGCCTGTCAAACAGGACTTAACAGAAAAAGGTACGACGGTTCTAAAAAGATGACTGGTCAAGTTGAGCACCTACGACCTTCAAACATGTTCCCATTGTCACCACGTTGTTCAGTTGGCCGGCCACTCCAGTGAAACAAATTTACATACTCCTCTCTCTCTCTCTCTCTCACGTGCGCACATACACCAAAGAACAATGGTTTTCCTCATTCTCATCATCCTTCTAATCTTTATTGCGTTTTCCAACCTTTGTCTGCAATTCAAACCAAAATGATGATGTGAAGGTGTTCAAACAGGGAAAGCAATCAAAGACAGCATCTTTCACACTACTACAGCCTTCCCTCGTATACAGTGCACGGTCATTATACCTGTATTGGAGAGAACTTCGATCTAGATATAGCGATAATGAACAAGGGTTCTATATTCGGGGGAAGATGATCGTAGTCGTTTTGTGCATGGTTCGAACAAATACCCCAAGTCTAAACACGACATTTATGTTTGTGGTGAATATGTATACCACTACTTGTGTAGGCCCTTACATACCTGAAAAGAGCACCACAGCCAGTGTGCAATCAACAGTTATTTTCTCAACCCCTTGACAGGCACCAGACACATAGAAGTACTAAAGGAGAAGTTCCATTCGTGTACACAATGGAGAAACGGACTAGGTGCATTCCCAATTCTCCATAAACATCACATATTTACTACTAGCCTTTTTCATCTCCTCTCCCTGACGCAACGGCAGCCACATTCCACAATTGCCCTCTTCGCATTCCTAATAGCCCTCTCCACCATTTAAACTTTTCCCCATCAACCTCCTCCCAATTGCGCAATGCATGTTCCCATCACCCCATAGTAAATAGCCCCTTGTTGGATATAACAACACTAGCTTTCCCCCATTTCACATGCCCAACGCCCATCTCTTGTTCCCCACCACAACAGGATCATATACCCACTCCTTGAATTAACAGCTGCTCTGTTTTCACACTCGCCAACCCTTACAGCTGATATAAGTAAAACCCTTCGCCTCCACCCCACCACCACCCCTCCATTCCCTTTCACACCTTCACAACCATTGATTTCCACTGCATACATCTCCGTCCATTCGGACCATTTAGGCGTTTAGCACGTACCCCGTCCTCAACGTAAATGCCCATCACCACAACCCTTTCCTGTTCGAGTAGACGAATGGCGCGTCCTCGCTTTCAGGCTATGTCACCAAACCACGGGATGGATTGCGTGGCACATTCCACCACCCCATTTTCTACCGCAATACATCATTGCCTACCAAACTACCATTTCCTCTACCGTTTCCTCCCTCCTTATTCTCCCTCCTTACTTTCATGGTGATCGCTACAGTGGGAGGCCATGGCAGATTGTGAATTGCCACACACCCCTGGGGAACAACGCCGCGGCTTATAGTATCACAGTAGTGCTTCAGCCACTGCATGAACTCCAAATTGTCCAAAGGCCGCCCCTTCACTAGCTTGTTGACTTCAATGTGCTGTCATTTAACAAAGGAAAACAGAGGCACACAACGGATATAGCAATAATGTAAGCTCTCTAATACACACCTTGTCCCTTCACCAATCTATAAAACTCTATGTTGAAGGCCACAGCTGCGTAAGTAGAACATTCCATGGCACTCCAAACGACAGTCCTCACAAACCCATAAAATGGCATGCGAAAAACCAACCGTAACCTTTGCTTCATTGAAAAACACCTAATCCACACTGGCAGCTGATGGGCGAAGCTTCCAATTCATGGCTTTCATGTTACACCACCCATACATTTCTCAGCAATCAAAGAAAATATGCGGCTTGCATGCAGCCACAACTTTCCGGGTTCAGACTCCAGGGCAAAATGCCTGGGCCCACCAGTCCACAACTTTCGGGACTCAGCCTCCGGGGTAAAATGGCTGGCGGCACCAGCCAAAAGGAAGCCCACACAGGTTCAATTGTTTTGGGACGCGCAGGGTTTTCCCAGCCCCAGAGAAATAAAAAAGTTTGTCGGAAGTACTGGAGGCTTAACTGATACCAAAGACGCAACCCGCAACTGCGAGAGTAAACATCTGCCATCCCCTTCCACATCACAAGCTGCCAAGTTCCAGTATGGACGGGGACCAATTTACAGCCCCACCCGAAGAATAGAACAATCCCTCCACCCCACCAACACCCTATGCTGTGCGAAACTAGACCATGGTGCTCCATGCTCCACTTGCAATTGCCGTTTGACGCTGGGTAGATGCCACTGGAATTATTTTGCAGTCGGTCCTTCCTTCACACCTTTGTCAATTTGTGACTCGCACAGGTCAGCACTGAGAGCAGCAGCCCACAGAACACGTTCCAAGCCCGATAACACATCTCTTTTACAGGGTGAACTCTTCCCACACTGTGGGGAGCTGGAGGATGTGGCCAAAGGGCTGGCAAATCCGCTTTCCTTGCTCACAGTCTGACAAATACGAGTGTCAGGAATTTCTCGATGACAGGACACACACAACTCCAAAGGCACTGGGGAGATGAGCACTATGAAGGAAGGATTGAGAAAACTACCAAGTACTGGGTTTGAAGGGAAAAGAAAGGACAGGGAGAACTTCGCACATATCGAGCTGCACGAGGGTTACGAGCGAGACACAGAGGATGGAAGGAAGGAAGCGGATTGGGGGTTGTGCAAAAGAGAGAGGAGCCGGAGGGGCGGGGGTGACAGGAACTTCGTGCTTCGAGCACTTGCCGTTTTCCTTTCTTCTGCTCGAGTTCCCGAAAGCAGGCCATGTGCTAGCACCATGTCTTCTACATGCGTGCAATGGAGTTGGACACATTAGGAATTTCAAGAATTTCATACACCGTCAACCATCAATCACACTTCACACTGATTGAGGTTGAAACACACTTGAGCCTCACTCCATTCCTCACGACATGCACAAAAGACAAAAAAATATGGTGGTGCATCTTCCCGTGTTCTAGCGGAACATTCATTCTCATTTTGCACATTTCATGAGTAGTGGAGCAAGGCCCTTGATTAGCACTTCTGACATACTGCTGGAATTGGATGCTCTCACCAAAATAGTTGAAACCAGGATAAACAAATAAAAAACTGGGCGCCTTGCTGCCTGAGGAACACGCAACCAATGGATCAAAACAATCCACCCAACAAATCATAAGATCTCGCTGACTATGGCTGTGCCCAGCTTCCTACAGACAGCCCTAAATTTGGTGTACATGCAGAAAAATGCCACTGTAACACGCACCAAAAAATAGAAGGCCGTATTAACACCAAGGCCATCCACCTTCCTGATCACGGATACATCTTGACAAGTGAAGGCCTTCGCTGCACTACTCTACACTGCACAATTTGTAGAGTTGAGGTCATTGCTGCACTAACTCTACAAATCCACTGGAGAATTTACTTTTATCTCACACTACCTACCCCGGGCTATGTACTTGGGTTTGCAGTCAACGAATACAGGAAAGACAGGCCAACTACACTACCCCTTAAGTCTACCAGCTAAGAACTACCCTGCATTGGGCAGAAGACCAGCCTTAAATGTTCTAATCGGGGCTAAGCTATCCTAAGGTTATGGGTCCACGCCTACCTGACTCTGCTTTGCGCGGTGGAGCAGCCAAGCACCAAACACCTGGCACGGGCTGCAAAGCCAGGCAACTTCCGCAACCAGCCAGGAGGGACAAGCCGACTTTCTCAGCCGGTGAACCCGAAGTATGCCACACAGGGGGTCGTGGGGAACCGAGGCCGCAACCTCCTGCGTACCACTTACGTGCTCAACCAACTGAGCTACTGGAAAACTTACTTTGTATAGCTGTCAGAAAGGCAAACTCTACACGTTCTTGTAGAGTCCCCAGCCTGCAAGAGCCGTTTCTTCTGGAGTCCTCGCAGGTCTAGGATGAGCGCCCGATTTGGAGAGTGGACCTGGAGTCTGAGAGGACAAAAGGGACTTTCAGTTGTCTTTTTGTGCGTCCGATAGTTGTAGAGCCCAACTTCGTAGAGTAAGTGCAACGACGACACAGTTTTCGACCCTCTGACATCATTGGTGGGAGTAGGATTTGAACCTACAACGCGAACTATACAAAAATGTGTAGAGTGCAGAGTAGTTTAAAGAGCGAGGACCCTAAGTATTACATTTAGTGTCCCTTCAGTTCCACGAAACAGGACAACTTGACAAGAATTCCGAACTGAAAACACTGACTCGTTCGTCACACTCGACGCGCTGCATCCAAACTACGGCCTACCGGGTCCGCCAACGCCAACAAAGAATTTCGGGACCTACAAGTCTGAAAAGACCCTACTTCAACAACCCAACCATCTTCCTCTGAACGTAACACTTATGTTCTATTTGAATCTTCACACACAAAAAAAAAACAAAACGATTTTGAAAAGGTGGTCAATATTTTTTTCAAGTAAAAGGGCTTTCCGAAATAGACAAGCATGTGTTGTATTCAAATAGGATGCATACAATTTCTATTCGGATTTCGAAAGAACAAATTTATTCATTGTAAGTTATTCAAATATAGCACAAGGTTTTTTTGCTTTGTTTTTTGTTGCATACCATCCTATTGGTGGCTGCCCATCAGCGAGGGGAGAACCCCCACCCTGATGGAGGTCTCACCCCCTGCATCTATTGTTCGCACCCACCATTATAGGCTTGTGACGAGATCCCATTGCACTTGGCTGTAGGTCTTAACAGTTTCGTCCGTGGGCTTCTTGCAGATGCACGTTGTCGGGCCCCACCCTGCTAGACTTTCGAGCCTGAGTCGACCCTTCTGCGGGTCTGTCTCAAGGGCCGGGACTTGATTCGAGAACCAAGGGAGGGTTTCCCCAAAGTGCTCCACTGTCAGCCGCAGCCCATACTCAAGTGCATAGGATAAAATGCTGGCCCCTACTGATTACGCAAAAACATCAGGCCAGTACAAGAAAAGTTTAGAAAGGTAACTAAGCCTAGTCTGCAAGGTCCTCCCTCGCTCGTCGTCATACGGTTGATGCGGCAAACTCAAATAGAACCCATACGCAGTTTAAACGAATACAGCCCAACGTACGGGTTAGTTACCTTTCTAAACTTTTCTTTTACTGGAATGATGTTTTTGTGTATACAGTAGGGGCCAGCATTTTATCCTATGCACTTGAGTAGGGGCTGTGGCTGAAAGTGGAGCACGTTGGGGAAACCCTCCCTTGGTTCTCGAATCAAGTCCCGGCCCTTGAGACAGACCCGCAGAAGGGTCGACTCAGGCTTGAAAGTCTATCAGGCTCTACACAATTCACCAGCTTCAAAACAGCAAGGAATAGCAAACACCTATACTTTAACTTATTGCTCCCAGGTCCAAACCCTGGCAAGAACAAAAGTGACAAACAACTAAAAAAACACATACTTGGGGAAGGTTACAGGTTCAAACCCCACTAACCCAACAGAACTGCCTGCGCATCCATTTGCGGAAAGAGCCTGCATTAACAATACAAGTCAGTAAAGCACAGAAAGAGCAAAGCAGAACGAAGAAGGGGGGACGAAATGGGTCGTAGTACTTCATACCCTCTGGAAGCATGGCAGCGCAGGTGGGACACACTCGCAGTTTTCGGATATTCATTCAGCGCCAACGGGTCCTAGTACTTCATACCCTCTGGTGCAATGCGGCATGTGTCAAGGACCTGGCCACATTGCACCAACGGCCAGGACACCTATCGGGGCATTCACGACAAGCACCTTTGCTACCGACCATGACTTTGGACATAGAGCCAGTGCAGACTCTACACTGACCTTATTTTTTTATCTTCAGCATCTTTCGATTCCATTTCTGCACGACTTTATTTGTAACTTTTTCTAGTTTGAGTTATTCTTTCTTTTAATCTTTTTCTTCAATTCCGGAGTGTTGGTTTATTTTTGGAGAGAGGCACACACGTTGTCCTGGTATGCCGCCTGTTTGTGGAGGTGCCTGTTCAGGCTGTCTGTTCATCAGTTGCCGTTGGACGCCTGGAAGATTTGTGTACACACTACCGTCTTCACCCGAATAGAACGCCCGGTCATTATCGCTGTATGTAGACTGCAAAGTGCACCAAATACGGCTATAATGACCTGGCGGTCTATTCGGGTGAAGACGGTAGGATCGGAACATTATCTGTGTGTCCTGTGTGCCCGTGCCTGGTTGGCTTTGGCACACAGGAGACTTTGTCAGCATCTGGAGGTCTCTAACATGGGCCAAAGGCAGCTGCTGATGCAGCAAGGGCCCCAGATCTAGAACCACGACAAAGCTGCCGAGGCGCAGGATTGATTTTCAGTCCAGCACCCTGGACTGTAGATGATGAATTGGCTGATCAACACCCAGGAGGACTGGGTCAGAGGAGAATGCATGTACGTTCAAGGTTGGGCAGGATCGGACACTCGTCCATTTATTTTTTTCAGTCATTTTTTCTGGACGTGGAAAGATTCAATCCGATTGATGTCTAACCAGATCTAACACCCATGTCTCTACAAGTGGTCGGCCACAGGTTTTTGATATGGTAATAGAATGCGAACACAATGCGACACAGCTGCACACATTGTCTTCTGGGTTCGGTCACCGAATGCGAACATGATGCTACACAGCTGCAAACAGTCTTCTGGGTCGCAAACGTTCGGGTTCGGTCACCGAATGCAAACACGATGCTACACAGCTGCACACATTATCTTCTGGGTCTGTACTGCACATATTCACTTGAACTCTGCATTCGATTGAGTCTTCCGCAGTGCCATTTGATTAAGTCTTCCACAGTGCCTTTCGCCACTGCCTTACCCGCTTCGTTCGCCAGCAAGTCCCTTGTCCCCCAAGCGGTCTATCCCCTTTGAAACCAGTTGTAGACGATGGCAACAAACACTGACCCAAAGCGTAAGATGACCATGCATCTGGTCGAGCAGGTCAGCGCCCATGCATCCATCCATAGTATGTCCTCTCTCCTAGATGACAACGTCGCATGGAGACAGAGAGGTCACCTCTGCGCACAAACTTTTTCTCTTCCTCGAGGTAACATGGTTACTGAGCGTGTCTCGCACAGAGAATCCCAAACAGTATGCGGGACACAAAAATAAAGTAGCAACCACCTTATCACAAAAATAGAGGCACAAAATGCCCTCTTCTTGCAGACCAACCACAGCGGGAAGGTAGGAGTCGCCACCCCCACCCATCCTCATCACAGTTTTGACATTCACAAAACCTGGATCTCCGAGATGAGCTCTAATAATACACTGGTCATAACAGCTTTGACATCCACAGAACCTGGGTCTACGAGACAAGTTCTAATACAACGGGGCAGAGGAGTGTTACTCATCTTACCTCCTCGAATGGTCGGTCACGTCGGCCAGAAGAAAGAAGTTTGGTGCATGAGGATCTCTGTACATCGGGGGGAAGCAAAACATCATGCTTGGGCGATGCGCTCTAGCCCTACCGACCTCATGCACCGAATAGGGCTTAGAGCGCATCGCCCTATCAACTGGGGAAATTCCTTCATTGGGTGTAGTGATACAATCAACCTCCACAATTGCAGATGGGCAGTCATCATCACCGAATGCAGCCGTGGTTTCGACTTGCAAACACATCAACCATCACCCACTATGAACTGAATCAGCAAATGAGGTTTGTAACGAAGATGACAGAGTTACCCACCCTTGAAATGTTCAACTTGGCAAACACCTCTTGAAGCACTTTATAGTTCTGTATCATCTCATATTCACTTTTGGCTTCGAAATTGACCTGCACATTAAGCGGTCAGAGCCAAAGTAAAAAAGTCAGCTCCTTCTCACTACCATGAAACACCACAGCGACTACCCAGTGCCTCACATGCACTTATTGCAATACAACCCTTCCCAAAACTCACGCAGAGGTTCAACAGAGGAAAACCAGTGTATGTATTAAGCAACCAAAGAGTGCATTGGCCTGAACGACAGTATGAGACCACACAGGGCTCTCTCTCTCTCTCTCTCTCTCTCTCTCTCTCTCTCTCTCTCTCTCTCTCTCTCTCTCTCTCTCTCTCACACACACACACACACACACACACACACACACACACACAACATAGGACAACCTGTGCACGACCATCTTCTTACTTTCTCTGCAGCATCGCCTCTGCGTTACTTGTCCTCTCTCTCTCTCTCTCTCTCTCTCTCTCTCAACATAGGACAACCTGTGCATGACCATCTTCTTTACTTTCTCTGCAGCATTGCCTCTTTGTTACTTGTCCTCTCTCTCTCTCTCTCTCTCTCTCTCTCTCTCTCTCTCAACATAGGACAACCTGTGCACGAGCATCTTCTTTACTTCCTCTGCAGCATTGACTCTCCGTTACTTGTCCTCTCTCTCTCTCTCTCTCTCTCAACATAGGACAACCTGTGCATGACCATCTTCTTTACTTTCTCTGCGGCATTGCCTCTCCGTTACTTGTCCACCTCGCTCCCTCCCTTTCCACATAGGCTGTACTCTGCTGCATAAAACAGTAAAGACTGTACCTGACGGATTCTTACATCGGAGGAAAACATCATTACGCACAGGTGCCAAAAGAATACTCAGTTTCGTCCTCGTAGTATAGCAACGACAGATGCTCAGATGTTCTGAAGCAATGGCTGCTGTACATTGGCTTCGTCATTCAACACTCAGGAGGCTGAACAGAGAAAAGCCTAGTGAAAGGCAAGGTGGTCCAGAAAGCACCACAAATAAGCGCATAATTTTTCTTTGCAACATCTGAACAAAATATCACTGGATAAGCCACGCAAAGCAGTCCGCCTGTTAATTTAGCACTTTGACGCCTTGTCTCCACAACACACGAGCTTCAAACCACTTAAAAAACGTTTCATAGGTAATTCCCAAAGACTTGAGGCATCATCAATCTGGAAAAGCAGAGTCCAAGTAGCAAAACTACGCAATTCATGAGCAGCCAAAGGGTGCCAAACATACAAAGCGAGTAGGTGCATCGGTTACCATTCATACCCAGTTCTGCAATCCACGAAGTCCACAAACACGCAATGATGATGATGGATGGAAAGCAAAATCACTGGATTTCACAAGCACCTGCTAATGTATCCGAATCCGAGAACCAGTTCTAGTCCTGGACGGAATTCACGTAAAACAGTGATGAATCCAGGTCCAGAAGCATTCCACACAACTGCTTAAGCAATCGATAATCACCATTTGATGTCAAGAATACCAATGACATGCAAAGAAAAAGAGTGAATGTATGACCCAAAGTTCACTTTCTTCCAACAGAAAGACATGAATGTGAAAAATCAGGGAAAGCAGGTGAAAGAATGACAAACCTTATGCATAGGAGGAACCCCCGGATGCACAACATCAAGCAGTTTACATGCAATAGCGCCATTTGCAGTCTGTTTCACATTACAATTGTCATGCATCACTCTACTTACGTCAGAATGACATCTGTTGGCCGGGAAATCAAGAGACAAACACAACCTCATCTGCACTATCAGCAAGCAAATAGAGGACGAAAGGGCTCTGACGGCATGCTTCAATACGCATCCAGTTGTCATGCCAAGCAGTGTTGCATACCCCGACAGTCCGCACCCCTGACTGGTCTGCTGGTCGACACCTACCGGTCAGGGGTAATCGGCACCTCGCAAAAAACACCAACACCCCCATACCCACCCTCAATACCCATACCCGCCCTCAATACCCCCAAACCACCCCCCAACACCCCCAAACCACCCACCGACACCCTCATACCCCCCCCCAATACCCCCTA